CGAAGCAATCGAAATGGAAGTAGACAACGAAACGGTTGATGACGAGGTCGATGGAGATGTGGTGGTAAATGCCAAGGACATAGCAATGCTTGAGCGATTACTTCTAGGCAATGACGACGATGACAACATAGAACCTTCGGATAGTGTTGCCCATTTGGACAATTTTGACAGTGATGATGAGACCTATGATCCCAATCATGAAGATTATTCCTAATACATGTAATACTATGGTTTTTTAATTTGTGTTTTGTTTATATATTTTGAATCTATTTCTAATATATGTACTAATTAGTCTTGTTCATTCTTTGTGATTGCAGGTGATTGGACAAAGATGGCGAGTAGACGTCCACGCCGTGACACGCCCTCGGTTTACGGGAGAGACCGCCCTCTCCTTCGAGGTAAGGGGTCATCGTCCGGGGTAGCGTCCGCAGGAGGTGACGAGAGGAGGACCAGGGGCAGCCGCCGCAGGAGGCAGCGGTCTCCTCCCTCGACACATGATGAGGTGTTGGAGGAGGAGCACATGACAGCCACGGCCTCGTCCTCATCGGAGGATGAGAGGGGTCAGCAGACGGGCGAGGGAGACGAGGCGCTCGAGGGCGAGAGAGGCGAGGCGCTCGAGGGCGAGGGAGAGGGTACCGCTACCCGGACTCTCTACGAGCGAGGTCCCGCGAGCCTCCCTCCGGTTCCGCTTCCTCACAACCGCTCAGTGATTCGGCCTATGGCAAAGAGTTAAGTAACTATGGATGTTATCACAACTACTTCATAAGATATGTTGGAAATCTTAAGAGAAACTGATAAATTTTCTTAATCACTTGTGCAGGGCCTGGTTGGTTTTGTTGGGTACTCCAGCACGCACCCCCGCGAGCAGCCTTGGTGTTTTGTGCAGGAAATGGTACCCCGGCATTGTGCAACTGTCCGAAGAGCCGGTGGTGCGGGAGCCAGCCTCCATCTAGGACAGGTACGCGCTGGTCACGGATGACACTTACCGCAACAAGCAGGAGCGAGTATTGGCGGAGTTTTGGGTAAGTCTCTCTCGCACAACATTGCTTAATACATCGCATTCATTGGTTAAATCTTTTATCGAAATAATGAATGGATACATCGGTTTTGTATGCGAAATATTTCAAGGCCAAGAAGGACTTGAGGCCCAGGCGGATCGAAGGGCCGCCGCAGCCTTGTAGGAAGTACGTCACCGAGATGCATCACCATGGGCGCGCCCAGCCCACATAGACTACTACAGGTCGGTGCTTAGGCAGCCCCTCCCAAAGCCTCAAACAAGATGGATTACGCCGACCGGGACCAAGACCTTGAGGTAGGCGAATAACATTCATAATGATTCGTTTTGATATTAAGTAGGTTCAATTTCATCTTCTTATATGTCAAATACTCGATGACTTGTAGGTGATTCCTGGTGGTGCCGATCGTATCCCGAGTCTTTGGGCCATGATCGTGGACAAGTGGTTATCACAGGACTTTGTTGACACGCACGAGAGGCAGCGGAACAAATGGCCCGATGAGGCAAGGTCCAACTCACCATCAAGGCAGCCGTAGCCTCCCGGATACAAACAAGCATATGTAAGTGATTTCTTTCATTTATTTTGACGCTCAATTCTGCTTGATTTCTCACCATCTTCCGTCTTTTTCTTGCAGGAGGCTGCACACCCAAGGCGAGGAGGTCTCGAGTTCTCTGCGTGGGCTATGTCCCACATGGGGGCGGGCGTCGTCCTCTATCTCCTTCGACCCGCTGCCCCGCCCAGTGTGTACTCCGACCAACGTGTACACTAAAGTCCAAGAGTACACGTCAACGGTAAGGCGATCTATGGGGAAGATTATAATGTGCGCCCGAGCCCATTGATGCAGAGGCGATCATGAGGCTCGGAGGAGGCAAGAAGCACGGGCGGGTCAGGGATGCGAGACGGGCGCCATCGACTCCACCACTGTTTCCTCCCTCGACGCTATCCGAGCACGGAGCACGAGCTCTAGCCAGCCCATACGTCCACGGCCTTCTCCAGCACTGCAGCAGGTCCAAGCACTCTAGGTAATTCTTGTTTTACTCATCGTACGTAGATATTTACACACCTAAATTAGATTTGCATTACTGATACATTGGAGTGAAATATTGCAGGCCGAGCTGCAAGAAACAAAAAAGGCAAAGTCAAGAGCAGAACGCGGAGCTGACCGCACAGCTGCAGGCCCAGAAGGTCGCGTTCGAGGCCACGCAGAAGCAGATGGCGGAGATGATGGTGATCGTGCAAAGTCTTGGGCAAGCATCGGGTGTACCTGTGCAGTTTTCAGCTCCTCCACCTCCTCGACCTCCTACTCCTGCAGCTACTCCTGTAAGTATGAAAGTTCACTTTTCGCTTGTACTTTGCTTGTATGTCGGCCTTCGTGCCGTTGTGGATGTCGGCGTTCGTGCCGTTGTGGATGTCGGTGTTCGTGCCGTCGTTTCTTGCAGGTTTTGGAAACCTCCCCGTGCAGGGGAGGTGCTGCCGAAATTTTCAATTGAGTCTAATCTTTTTTATTCCTATAATACTAGATGCAATCTCTAAGTTCCAAAACTGTTTTCCCGGATTACTCACACATGCAATCTCTGCTCCTTTGTGCAGCTTCCGTCCGCGGGTTCCAATCAACCCGCTAGTGCGTCACCGAGTGATCCTGTTTTTCCTTCACCATCGTCTCATAGGCTAGCTTGATGAGGACTCGTGCTAGGTGACGTGGTTGGACTTTAGCGTGATTTGTGATTTATGGTTATGACTTGTGCTTGAATTTCATTAACTTGTCGTAATAAACATGTGAATGATGATGAACATGTGACTTGTCGTTGTAATATATTGTGATTTGTGGTTCACAATTATGGTTGTGACATATTGTGAGAAAATGGGTTCTGTGTGATATATATATATATATATATATATATATATATATATATATATATATATATATATATATGAAATGCTTGTGTCGATGGAATGCAAAAAACAAAAAAAAAATTCTGCCTATTTGCCGAGGGCAATGACCAAGGCCCTCGGCAAAGAAGGGTCCTTTGCCGAGGGCCCAAGCAATAGCCCTCGGCAAAGATTTTTTTGGAAAAAAATCCTGACAATTTCTTTGCCGAGGGCCAGGGAGCAGGCCCTCGGCAAAGGGTTAAAAAAAATTCAAAAAAACCATTTCTTTGCCAAGGGCCGGCCCTCGGCAAAGAACTTTTAAAAAATTCTGAACATTTCTTTGCCGAGGGCCAGGGAGGAGGCCCTCGGCAAAGGTTTTAAAAAATAAAAATAAAAAAAATTATTTGCCGACTTTGCCGAGGGCCGGCCCTCGGCAAAGAATTTTTAAAAAATCCGGAAAATTTCTTTGCCGAGGGCCAGGGAGGAGGCCCTCGGCAAAGGTTTTTAAAAAAAAAAATTTATTTGCCGAGGGTCGGCCCTCGGCAAACAAATTAAAAAAAAAACAATTTCTTTGCCGAGTGTGGGCCATCGGCAAAGAAACCGCCAACGGCGCCGGCGCCTGACGGCCTCTTTTCTTTGCCGAGGGCCGTCCTAGCCCTCGGCCCTTCGCCGTCTAAAAATTCTCCAAGGGGTCTTTGCCGAGGGCAGCCCTCGGCAAAGCCTTTGCCGAGGGTTTCTGGGCCGAGGCCCTCGGCAAAGCATGCGCCTCCAGTAGTGCAGGTAGCTGCAGCCTTCGACGTCCGTACGTACTCGCAAATTATAGATCGAGCTATATACGCGCTAATAAATAATACAGGCTGTTGTTACTCTTCGATCGTCCTCAACGAGCGAGATCGATGTCACAACAGCTGCCTGCCGCGAGGAGGGTGAGTTCGTGGACGTCGACCTAGGACAGCAGCCGTCAGCGAGCGGCCGAGCAGCAGGCAGAGCCGTAGCGCGCTTGTGTGGAGCGATCAGGGACCAGGTCTTCGGCTGCCTATTCTCGTGTTTGTTGCGGCCTCCATGCGATAGCAAGGAGGAGGATTGAAAAATTCAAGTTGACCAAACAGATACAAGAGGACCAGCTAGCGTTAATTAGATGATGCATGTACAATAGCGGTGCTCAGTGTACGTAGATGTATGCATGACTAGAGGGGAAAAAAATCTCTGTTGTCCATGATCACTACACCACAGCATCAGACATCTGACGCTAAAAATTATATTTGGTGATGGATGATCTGACGCTAAAGATGACTCAGAGATCATCTGACGCTAAAACCTCATTGAGCGATTTAGTGTCTGACGCTATAGGTATTCATATTTAGTGTTTACCCATCTGTCGCTAAAGCCAAGTGTACCGTCAATCTGTCTGTCGCTAAAGAAAATGGGCCCCACGCTGAGCTCGCGCGCCCCACAATATGGATCAAGACAAATAGCCCATCACGGCCCACACTCACAGCCGCAACAAGCCCATACGGCCCAACCTGGAATCCCATTGGCGGCAACCCCTCGCATAACCCCCCCAGCGAGTTCGCTCCGTTCCCCAAAATTTCCCCATTTCCCCCCTCCCTTCCACCCGTAGCTCCCGCGCCTAGAAGGGGAACCCAGCCGCCAGCGCCCACGCCGCCCATGGCCTCCTCGTCGAGAAACATGGGCGCCACTGAGGAGGAGGCAGCCAGCCCCCACCCCGCCGACGCTGAACCCGGAGCCTACCGAGGCGGCGGCACTCGGCGAGGCGGAGGAGCCGCAAACCCTAGAGCGGACGCAGGAGCTCTTCGACAGGGGCGCCAAGGCCATCGAGGGCGAGGACTTCATCGAAGCCGTAGACTGCCTCAGCCAAGCGCTCGAGATCAAGTTAGGGTTTCCTTTCCCGCTCACAGGCCCAAACAGCCTATTATTAGCTCAGGCAGAGCAGAGGAGATTCCTTTTGTGTGTAGCAGTAGCAGGATAGAGAGGGAGAGGAGCAGCACAGACCAGAGACTCAGAGGGCAGTGAGCAGAGCAGAGCAGAGGAGGAGAAGGTGGCCAGCCGGAGGCAGTTGTGGAGAGGAGGAAGAGGAAGAGGAAGTGAGCGAGGATGTCGTGCCTGAACGTGTTGACCAACGTGAACCTAGAGGGGGTGGACACCTCCGCCATCCTCGCCGAAGCCTCCAAGTCCGTTGCCAACATCATCGGCAAGCCAGAGGCCGTAAGCCTCCGCCTTCCCCTTCCCCTCTGGTTCCCCTCTTGTTCTCTTCTATCTTGTTGCTTGTGTAGGCTCTTGTAGATTGTGGGTCTATTTGGTTGGTGGAGATTATGCTTCTTTTTTTAATTGGCACTTGACACTTGGCAACCTATTAGGGTTTAGAGCAAGATGTGCATCGCTGCATGACACCTTTCTGTACGTTATCAATCAATTGATCGTGTCTGTTGATGTTAGTATAAAGAAAATTCGTGTAAATCAGTAAATCTTCTAATATTTCTACTCTTTGCCTCTTTGGTAAATACTGAAATGGGGATTTTTCACCTATAGGCTTTTATTTGGGGGGAATATCCTCCAGGAGCACTGTGGACGCCCCCGATGTCGATTCTCACTGAACTCACTTTAACACTTTGTTAATATTCCCTAGGATGGGACTGCAATCTCATGCATACCGTGGACATTCTTTAATTGAGTTCATATATAATTATTATATTGTATTTTTTTATTTTAATAGTTTCAACATTGAGGAAGACAATAACTCAAAAGTATCACACTGCACACCCAGTGTCTATGTGGGACTGATATACTGACCATTGTGATCACTCGGTACATAAAATCCCAAATCATTCTTCTACCAATTTAATAGATGTATTTACAGCAAACTAACTGATGAAATTCTATGCCCACAGTTTTTCTGGACCAGATTTCTATCAACCAGCAACCCCTAGTATACCATTCTTCAGCACTAATCTCAAGTCTTGTTAAATATAAAGACCATGAGCTGCATGTGCTCTTCCTTTATGTTACCCTAGTACTACGGCCATCAAATTTACATAGATCAAATATGAACGTTCATGTTTATCAGTGACTTCGTGTTAGTGTTACACTGTTACTCAGGCAGGTGCTTTGCCATGTAGTTCAGTACCCAAACTTTTATGCCCTGTACTAGAGGTCACAGCTTTGCATCTTATGTTAACTGTATAGTCCACTTAGTATTATTCAGGCAGCTGCTTTGCTACTTTCAGGGACAAAAATGACCTCTCTGAATACATTGTATTCATAACCTGACCACGCTAATCTCATTCTCATACTAACACCATTTGGATTCCTTGTTGGGTAATATGTGGTGCTAGGCTCAAATTACTGAACTTTAGCTTTTATTGTTTCTCTGTTCTTGACTTATTTGGATGAAGCCATTTCTCTTGAGTACTATCATCATGAGTAACTAACTGGAATGGTTGTCCTGCCACAGTAGTGATGGTTGTTCTCAAGGGTTCTGGCACTTGTCCATCTGTTAGGGTTTTGAGCAGGATGTGCATAGCTGCATGACACCTTTCTGTACGCTGTCAATCAATCAATCAATTGTGTTTATTGATGTTAGTTTAAAGAGAATTTGTGTGAATCAGTAAATCTCCCAATGTTTCTCTTTGGTAAATACTGCAAGTCTGCAACATGGATTTTTTTCCTCCTGGCTTTTATTTTGGGGGAATATCCTCTAGGTGCATTAACACCCCGATGTTGATTCTCACTCGAACACTTCGTTAACATTCACATGATACAGCCTAGAATCCCTGGGACTGGAATCTCCTGCATATCATGGACATTCTTAAATTGAGTTCATATATAATTAAACTGTATTTTTTCATTTTAGTAGTTTCAGCATTGAGGAAATAACTAGATAACTTGAAGTATCAGATTGCACACCCAGTGTCTATGTGGGACTAGTATACTAACCATTGTGGTCACTCAGTACAAGAAATGCCAAACCATTCGTCTTCCAATTTAACAAATGTATTTACAGCAAACTAACTGATGAAAGTCTGTGCTCACAGTTTTTCTGGAGCAGATTTCTATCAACCAGCAACCCCCTAGTGTATACCATTCTTCAGCACTAATCTCAAGTGTTGTTAAATATGTGGACCATGGGCTGCGTGTGCTTTTCCTTTATGTTACCCTAGTACTACAGCCATCAATTTTACATAGATGAAATTTGAAAGTTCAAGTCGATCGGTCACTTCGTATTAGTGTTACTCATGCAGCTACTTTGCTATGTAGTTTAGTATCCAATTTTTTATGCCCCGTACTGGAGGTCACAGCTTTTCATCTTCTGTTAGCCATTTAGTCCATGTAGTGTTAGTCAGGCAGCTGCTTTGCTACTATTAAGGACAAAAATGACCTCTCTGAATAGTGAATACATTGTGTTCATAACCTGACCATGCTAATCTCATTCTCATATACTAACATTATTTGGTTCGTGGTTGTTGACCTGTGGTGCTAGGCTCAAATTACTGAACTTTAGCTTTTATTGTTTCTCTATTCTTGACTTATATTTGGATGAAGCCATTTCTCTTTAGTACTATCATCTTGAGGAACTAACTGGAATGGTTGTCCTCCCACAGTACGTGATGGTTGTTCTCAAGGGTTCGGTGCCTATGGCATTTGGAGGTACCCAGGAGCCCGCAGCTTACGGTGAGCTGGTTTCCATTGGAGGCCTGAACCCTGATGTGAATAAGAAGCTAAGTGCTGGCATTGCTTCTATCCTGGAGTCAAAGCTGTCCATACCCAAGTCGCACTTCTACCTCAAGTTCTATGACTCAAAGGTAAGAAGCCACTATTCCTTATTGATTGCTCATTCATGGGTCTTCATTACCATCATCATGTTCTCATTGGAATTTTGCTGTTTGTTAGGCCCATCCAGCACAAGGACGTGCTCAATGTTTGCATGCTTTGCATCAAGAATAGATCATGTAAATAACCATATCTGACTGGTTCATCATGTTTATATTATTAAACACACACTGACTGCTAGATAACATTTGGTTGGGTTCCTGGTTGACACTTGGGTTGGATTGGATTGCAGCTCATGTTGTCAGGAATAATAGAATGATGGACATCTGTTTTTGTCCACACCAGCAATCTCAAACCATTTGTAGAATTGCAAAGAGTGCTGATTGATAGTTTGTAGGGAAACAAGTAGGTCGACATCAACATTCAGTAAAGGTGCAGCTCTCAACTTGTAATTAAATTTTGAGCCAATGCATATACAGGTTCCACATTACTGAATTCTGAGCAAATGCATATACATGTCCCACATTACTGAATTCATATGAATACTCCCTACTACTATGATCTGTACTAGTTAGATTTCATGAGCTCTGTTTCTTCTGCTCTTGTGTAAATATAGACCTGTAGACTAACTACACATGGGATCTTTACATTTCCTAAATACATGAGCAATGGACTGTAGATTAGTATAACTTTATTACCAAATACCAATACTGCCCCTTCCTTTTTTTGTGCTTATTCACTACTAATTGCATTTGACTCTTTCTTATGTAGTGCCATTTAATTTGCTTGCAAGCAAATATCAAGTACATATTTATCATTTTCTTCCCTTAGTTTCAGTAGCAGCATATTATCTTAAATTTCTGTACTTGAAATCCGCTGGTGGCTAGAATTTGGAAAGACAATGACCTGTATGCTTTCAAGATAAGTTTCGAGTTTACACACCACCGGCTGCACTCTCAACTCTGAACTGTGTTCTTTGAAAACAAAAGCCACATGAACTGTTAGAATGATTAAATTAGAATGCTACCTACACATCAGGGATTGGTTCTTCGTTCTCACATCTTGTATAAATTTTATCAGGTTGCTTGTTTACAACAATCTCTGGAGTTTGAGCATCACCTGGACGATGTGAAAGATCAGTTCTGGATGGTTGACAATTGACAGCGAAGTGGGGTCCATGTCTTGCAACCTACAAGGTCGATGCAGAGGTAATCTTCAATTTTCTTAAGAGACCCAGAACCTACTATATCTGTAGATGTGTCTTTTCTTGTTCGTGACCTACTATATCTAGTCAACTACAAATGATCTCATAAGAGGAATGCCATCTTGTTAGCTTTGTTGCTCGTCAAGGTTGGTTGTCAGAAGCTGGTCTGGTCACCTTATGTAGTTTGGCTGTGGCACGACATAACAAGAAGTCTAATACTCTGTGGGTTACTTCTAAGATCTGTTACATCCCAACAACCTGTATCATATGCATTCTGTACCGTCTTCAGAGACCCACTTGTACTTGGTGCTATCGAGCTAGTAGTTTCTTTCTTATGTTCTTTGTTAGTATATGGCCATGATAAGTTGCAATTCGGTACATTTGGATTCCGCGAACCCAAAATTCTGATCCATGTTGTTTCTCTCTTCAACAGATCGTTCTTATGTATAGAAGCAGTGGAAGATGATGCCCTACCAATCAGAAGGCGAAACATCTTATCTAACTCGAAGCAACCTGGCATTAGTTGAGAAAATATACTATGCTTTTTCATCTAGTCAACTACTTAGATGAAATCAATAATATTTATATCCTATAGTGAAAAGAGTATAGACTTGTTGATTGTGCAGGTTTACAATTTTTACAGGCATGTAAATTTGCTTCTTTTGAAAGTAGTGTTTATATGCATCTAAAATGGAGTGATTGCTACTTTTGTAATAATACATCATACCGAAGCATAGTAACTTTATCTGATCATGGATCTATGTTTTAGGTTCATGAATGAATCTATTTGTATGAGAAATGTGCACAATGATGTTACTTTTGTATTAATTTGCAACTAAATGGCCTTTTATTTTTTTAAGTGCATTTAAATGATCTCGTCAAACCATCAGTCGCTAAAAACATTTGTAACTTCAAATTGTCTGTCGCTATAGAGTACTGGTAGGCTATCTGACGCTAAAGACTAGCAGCAGACTATCCGTTGCTAAAAAAATTCAGGGCAACGGACTGTCTGACACTAAAAGTACTGTTTGAAGCTAAAGATTTTTAGCGACAAGACTTACAGCGTCTGCAGAAGTCTATCGCTATAACTTTTTAGCGTCAGATTGTCTGTCGCTGTAGCCGCTTTTAGCGTTAGACCGTCCATCGCTAATCTTGGTATTGTGGTGTAGTGGATAGAGACGCTGCATGCCCGTCTATGAAAATCGAGTAAAAATACAAAAAAAACATGACCAGT